TAGGCGAAAGTAACTGGGACTCTTGTGGCTCACCGAAAGTTGGTGGTGGAACGTTGCTGACACCTTTTTATCATAAACAGGATAAGAAAGACAAGTTTCTAAACCGCTTGAATACTCTTGCGGAGACTAACAGTTTCACTATGAAATTGGAATCTTGGAATCGAACGTCGCCATTCCTTGACTGCTTAGTGCACAAGAATGGGGGTAGTCTAAAATCATCGGTATATCGTAAGCCGAAGGACACAGATGATATACTCCACTATAGTTCAGGTCACCCAAAGCATGTGTATGCTGGAATCGCCTCGTCTCTGTTTCACAGAGCCCAGACCTTGTGTACAGAGGAAAAATGTAGGAAGGCCGCCCGGAAATAAGCGATGAACCACTTGTTTGGAAGTGGATACCCGAGGAGGTTAGTGAAACGCTAGCTGCAGTGATTTTTAAATCCTTACCCACGGCGTACTACCGAGTGGATTGGGAGAGTAGGCGTTCCTTATAAAGATGGCACTTCGGAGGCCATTCGGAGGGGACCTAAATAAAGAAAATACAAGGTAATTTTCCACAAAGGCCAAACGCTCCGCTCTACACTTGTGCAATTAAAAGACCCACTTCCCGCAGAAATGACATCCAATCGCGTATACAAAATTAGTTACAAAGACTGCGCACACGTATACATCGGCCAAACCGCGAGAGAGCTACGCACAAGGATAACAGAATACAAGGGATGCCTAGCAAGGCCACTGTGAAACCAGCTTGAATATATGGCTCTACTAAGGAGTTCTGCAGCCGCGACGTAAGAGATAGGTACAGGACATGATATCGACTTGGATCACGTCTGGATCGTTAGAAAGGGATTGCGATCAACTCCCCATAGGCTGACGGCTAAGGCGGTTGGGATTAGCATGGTGAACAGCTGGGTGAATAGGATGGACGGGGCAGAGCTTTCGAGAGTGTGGCCAGCAGTCTTAACCCGATCAGTCTGAGGAGCGCCGACGCACGGATGCAGGGCAGCGAATGAGCACCACATCATCCCTTACCCATCGTTAACAGGACCTACGTGTGTGACCATGTAACGCAGACCAAAAGTCACCGTTCCGAGCACTACTTGGAGCGATACGTTGACCTGTAACGCGATTGATCTTCTGTCTACATCCCATTCGTCGAAATTATCATCCCAGTTTCCTATAAGTGTACACCAATCCTCGACTGGTTCACTCGGCCTGACGAAGCTTTTGCGTCCATAATTGGGACCCCTTTCAAACCAAACACCAGTAGCAGGTCGGTAAATATAAACTGGCGTCCTATACAATCCTGTAAGCACACCTCAAGAACTGCACAATGTGAGTTGCCATTTAGGCAAAGTACAACTTCGTGAAGCCCACTTCCTAGTCAATCACCGTTAAGAAGGCAGAACATGGCCAGCAGCCGAACATACAACAATTGGCATAATCTGCTATCCGATTTGCATTTTGTTCTATTCACTGCTGAACACTAAAATCTTTCTTGCATGCAACCAATGCCAAAGCTGCTTCAGTCAACAAACGTTTGAGATCGCGTTTAGTGACAGACTTGTTTATGCTTAGATGTTACGGTTGCCGAGAATCAAGTAGTCACTTTTACGAGAAGACCATCAGAGCAGCGTAGGTAACGTACTTCTCTACTGTCATAATGAGTTCTAAAGCGGACCATTGGATGATCCGGAGACGCGGGTCACCGAGTCGTCATGGATCCACTTGCGTACCTGATACTAAAGTTGCCTCGCGACAGTCGATGCAAATATCGACCTGCTGGACGAGCTTTTTGATAGTGACGGCAAAATGTTGCAATTTATTTGCAATATCAGTCCACATGTCAGTCTTAACCCGCTCCAACCATATTATCTCAAGGCAGTTAATTGGACACACCTTCAACATTTTGTCCGACCTTTCGACTGGAACAGTAGCACAGTTCTATGCTAACATTCACTAGGCCATAACCCGTTTTACTTCACAAAATAAACCTGTTGCCTACGGCTCTAGGAATACAAGGATCACTTATTCACCCAGAAAACGCGAAACTTACCAGCAAGATCTCACACGACCAGAGAATTTTTAACAGTAATACAAGTGCGCTAATGGACCACCCGGATTAAACATAAACAAGCAATATGACTCAAAGCTAGGAAGCAAGTGCTCTACGAACAGGTTGCAAAACAAAAACACATCTCTATTCTTCGTCCTAGAACCAACACCAGCTCTTTCCATTTCATGGGATTTAGATAAACGCGTCAATAACTTTAATGACCCTCTTGTCGTTTCTGAGGCATTCAGTGCTTCCTTTGCTGTCTTTATGATTTTGAATGCGGCCTCATACCTGAATGTCCTCAATCCGTAACGGTCAAAGCCTATGCAACTTAGAACATTTGCTCAACAGTACTAGGCAGCTAATGAAAACCATCGAACATTCTCTCAGGTTGGACTCCGACGGCATCCCCCCAACTGACATTCAAATAGATGGACATGACTTACGATTACTTTTGTTGAGTACGTTCAAACCATCGTACAAGCTACCTATTGACTTGATGAATAGAAAACGGTCCCTCATGCCGCGTCAGAAAAGTGGTCCTAAACAAAAGTTTTCAAGTACTGACCAATTCACCATCGCCATTCGTTTTGAAAGAATAATCAGGAAAACTACCATGTAATTCCTTAATTATTCCTATCTGTTTAACACATTTCAGCACGTTTACCTCGAAAAACGTTGTCGCACGACCTACTAAGTTGACTAAATTACAACCCAGATTCCATGGACTGCGGTTATACAATTATAAGGTTATTTTTTGCTTTGGAAAAGAATTTACCCGTATACAACATAAACGGTTATTGCAAAAGTTGAATCATCTGGAATCCGTACTTTCCTCCTATCTTGGCAATCGGTTTCTACTAGTCACTTTGGATGACAACCACTATTCTCCAAGCCCAATTACTAGCGGCGTCATCCAAGGAACTGTGCTTGGCCCTTTGCTTTTTTTCTCTTCATCGATGACATGGACATATCCTTAAAAATGAGCAAATGGTTTTATTTGCTGACGATATCATGATTAAATATAAAATCAGGCATGATGTAATTCAGAGCACACCCCTTTCAATGCAACCTGATCCTCACTCCGTTGAGGAAGTGGTCCGAAACGTGGCTAATAAAATTGTTGACCTACAAACCAAGTACTATGTCATGTGGCTGCTGGATCCCCGAAGGGTCAATTAAACTTAACTACAAGAATATGTCCATATGGCAGCCTACCTGTGATCTTTGAATCCGTTATTCTTCCGATTTCCAGTTTTCTAAAGAAGCGCAGTTCCAAATAGCTCGGGACAGACAATCCTTGGCTAACATATGCCACCAAATCCACACAGTCCCTACCAAACAGGAATTAGTTGAAACCCACAATTGTCCTATTCTGCAAGACTGCAACTCCATTTGTGGCATCATGCGGTGATTGTACATGAAATCTGTTGAAACTTCACATCTGTCATTCAGCAAACTTTTGTTCAGTAGCACATCTACCGTAAACTATCGTGAACTTTGTAAGCAGCTTCACATCCAGCCTTACTGGCTGCCAATTCCAGAGAAAAATTTGATGCTCCTTCACAATTAGTTGCATCGAAAAACGTACTCTTACTTGCTTAATTTGGAGATAAAACGTAATAAACAGCACAGACACCGCAACAAGCAATTTAGGTTATTGATACCAAGGACTAGAACAACCATGCGTTACAACCTTTTCCTTCTCATAAATGCCGTCTTTTGGAAAAGCCTACCATCCGCTATCGAGGCATGTGAAAACCTAACTCTGGTAGCCCGTACGCGCGGGCCTTACCACGACCGCACTTCGTAGCTTGTGATTGGATGCCTGTCCGTTCGCGATCAATACAAGGGTTGTTTTGAATATACTGAGTGCATGTACCGTTGGCGTGAATAGAAGTTTGTGTTGCGTACCAGTAGAGTTCTGCTTCCTCGTTCGGGGCTTTGGTCGTGTTTGTTCAAGACCCTGCGTGCAGGGGACTAGTGTACGTGTAGATACAACATTAGCATCATTCAACACCAAACTGGACAGATCCTTATGTCTAGATGTGGTATTATCCTCCTTCTCATTTGACAAATCATCTGATGAAACATCCCAAGATGGATTAAACATATTTAAAAAGTAAAATATTGTCACCAGTATTCATTCATACAAGGGCTTGATCATTTTTGTTTATGCTTATCAGTTCTTTCAGGAAGAGTTTCTCACAAATATATATATAAATATCACGAAATATAGTCCATGTACAAAGTCATTATAACATAACAAGCGATGTAAGGACCAACATTTCATAAAGCAATCGCAGTTGACACTTTTACGCCAGCCTCAACGTAAACCTATGGGTGAGTCCACAGAAAAGCATTTCCTTTTATCTTCATGCTTTTTCTTGAGTTTCTGGTTCACATACTTGCCGCTCCACGAGGCGTTTTAGCCATTTGCTTGTAAACTAGCAATAACCTACCGTGCGGTAGTTTCATTAACATTGCTAGTGAGTTCAGTAATGAAATTATAGTGTGATAAATTCGCGGAAGTCACGTCATTCAGCGCTACTGATAACTTGATTCGTCGAAAAACACGTTAGGTTGCAATGAGGATACTGAGCAAAGGTTATGCCATTCGGCACCTCAACTAAAGATTGCGATGTAAGCTTGTTAGCCGCATGTTGATCAGTTGTTAACACAAGTTATGTTAAAAATACACATTTAGCGAAATTTTATAACGACTAAAGAATCCTTTAATAATAAAACGGAAAACGGACCTTAGATGGCAATGTTGTCAACCGTTCTTTTTCAGGTCTCCTAGATTCGTGATGAACATAATTCCTTATCATGTGAGTCAGTGCTCGTTTATTAGTGTAGTTAATGGAACTGTAAATGTCTATCCGGTGATAAAGTAGTTGGTTTAAAAAATGCAACCTGAAATGTATGGGGGTTTGACTCACTCAATTCGCCTCCTCAGTCGAACTATAAAATTGGCGAGTTTTTCACTTTTGAATCGGATCGATTCCACTGCAACGTCTGGGTATGGCTGTGGATAGATAAAAGCACTTAAGCATATAGTCCCATGTCCATAGTGATCAATCTAAGGGATAATTTCGGATGGACCTCAGGGTGGCCTAATTATAAGAGATATGGTCTTTTGTTCTAGGCGCTTGGAGGAGAGGGTTAGGGTCAGGGAGTGATTCTCTTGGCGCCCCTGCTGGTTTACCGGATCAGAGGTCTAGAAGTTGGGCACCCATTGAAGTTTTAGTTAAATCGGCCAGCAAGACAACATAATATGTATCATCAGGTCACGAGCAACGAGAAGTAGTCTGGTTGAAATATGCTGGATCATGTTTAATATATTCTGATTTCTAGCTGTCTGCAGCCAAACTCTTGACACATTCCATTAATCGTGAGATATTAGAATAAAAACTACGTCAAACCTCACTTGATCTAAGTCGATTTCCACCCATTTCGTTTTCGCTTTAGTTATAACCTGAGGGTTCCTCATTTTCGATTGGTCCACCGACTCATTCTCACGACGTTCCGTTTGAGAAGCAGATTGACGATTCAAAGACTGCTTGTAACTGACTGACCTTGGCACCTTGCGGTCGGAGTGCATGCCTGTTTGTGATTTACCTCTGAATTTCTGGAGTGGAAGGATGCGTGACGGACTTGGCTCAGTTTATCATGTATGAAAATACGCGCTTAATAAAGTCATTACTACGAGTAAAAATACATTTAACTATTAGCATACTCTCAGAATCTGCACGTGTATATTACATGGAAGTATCTATCGTGCCTTGATGCACCAAGCTACCAAATGCGGACCTGAACAGTAAGTACGGTTGAGTGTTTGGAATTTTAAGTAAAAGTTCGCTCCGTACATCCGTTCCTTTCGTAAAGAATTCTAGCTGCATCCCATCACTTACATTGCAGTAGCACATTGGATGAAGAAAACTTACATATGTGGGAGCTTATGGGGTTGCGAGGCAAACTGTGGAGGTAAAAACTGGATTTGTGTGTTGTTATTCAAAACGACTTTTAAGCGGCCGTCAGATGATTTAGGTTACTTCAAATCTGTGATTGATTGAGAGCCAATATGCTGCTGTTTTTTTGATTCTCCCTACATATTTTTAAGAATTTTGTAGAGACGTAGAGACATATACAAGTTAGTTGATGTTTCGATACTGTTTTTAGCCAGCTCTTTGATCTAAATTGCATTTGTTGCATCATCGATCCATGTACAATCCTTGCGTTTTGCTTGTCGAAACTCAAGCTTTACTAAACACTACTATTCATGTGATTAACAATGCTCTATGACCCGATGCGGAATCTAAATCCTGGTAGCATCATCAATAGGCTGGTAGATTGCATTGATGCCTCGTTGTCACGCGGCCACAACCAGCTGCGAGACCGCCGGCAGCTATGCGAAATCGCATCTATGCACCTTGGGTTATTATAAAATATTCTCATCCTTCAGTCACCGACCCAAATCCGTTGATATCCATGCACAACTAGCATCTTGATAATGGCGGCGTCAATATGTTTAGCCCCCTGTTCATTTCGGAACGATGTACCTTTATTGTGTTGCATCATGCATTTGACCGTGGGAATCCGTATGCAGTCGATTCGCGACAACTTCGTAGCCCTGTGTGCAGATATTGGCGTAGAAGTATGGTGCCTAACAACAGACGCAGGACTTGTGGAGTGCGGAGTATTGCGACAAGTGGACAGAATGAAGTATTCAGTCATAGGACATGGGGTGTATTCATCGCTGTCCAAGTAAAGTACATGCGGCTAGAAATCGCAAAAGGTCTGTCTAAACGTGTATTTTGAGTTCTGGCTGACTTAAATAACTTTACATTGGCTGGTACAGTTTGCCACATCTGAAGCAGAAGATCTCCATCCCAAACGAGCGGAAGCACGACTGATAAAGTTAAACAACTTGTGCACCTAAACATTTCTCCACGGATGTTTTTCATAGTAGGGAATACAACACAGGATTCTTCATAAAGTCCATCCCTAGGCCTTAGAACGAAAGCGGCGAATTACTTCAATGAAATCCCTGCAACTCCAAAAATAAAATAAAATATCGTTACTTCAGTTCGCTTTTATCCGAGGCCAACCAAGGGCGTCCAACATAATCCGGATTACGCAACCTGCGCACGCGGTACTAGAACTGTGGAACACGTAACACCAGTGGGCTTAAGCACGGTGTATTTCTCAGAACAGCATAAATGCGGTGTATTTATATACTACTGCCTGCCACTTAGACAACAGCGAAAGCGATCCCCTACATGCCAAAACGCTACCAGTTGCATACAACAATTCATCTGGATTGTCAACCACAGATGGTTAGTCAGACGACGTCAAAACAGACTGAGGTGGCGTAGGTGCAATTTGTGCCAAGTTTCCTGCAACAAGGTGAGATTACAAGCCGAAAGACAGACGAGTAACCCAAGTCAGTGGAAGTGCATCTTTGACCATCACTGTTTTCTTACTGGAGCAGTCAAGCTGAGACATGTTGGACGTTTCCAAAACTCCAAGCTATATACTGAGTTAAGATGAACTCTATGGACGACTGTGACAGCCAGGTAGTGGACAGTAGGTTACAGAAACTTAATTTTATGAACCAGATTTTTTTTGGATATGCTATGGAGGCAGCATAACTGTGCAAGGCTTTGAAATGTGGTCTCATAATATACATGCAACGGTGACCTAACCACTAGATATGGAGAAGGTACATTTGAGTAAACCCTTGTACGCCTATTTAACGAAATTGTTATCCAGGATACCGAGCTTAGCAATTCGCAAACCACGTAGTCAAAGAGTAATGAATCTGAAACGTCAGTTTAGGCAATATACCGCAGATGTTATAGAAAGCAAAAGCTTGTTGCATGATGGATTTTATTCGGTACAAACATTCAAAGCTTGTAAAGATATCTTGCATTGATGCGTACAGTTGTCCTGCTAAAAGCAACGCGTGGCTCTATTTGAAAATGAGTCTGCGGCGGTTTCAACAAAGCAGTGAGTCGAATGCAAGAGATTGCAACATCACCTCATACACGCTCTGTAAATGTTTTACTGAGGGACTACCTTAGGGAAGACAGAACCTTACTCAAATTCATCTATCATAATTTCAGTAAAATTGTGACTCACTCTCATTCAACTTCAGGAGTGTGCAAAATTACACCATGAGCATATATCCTTCGTTCATTATTTGAATCCGAGAAACTTTCCCTTAGAATACTACTGCATAGGAACTACTCGAATTAAAACCGGATGGCGACCGCAATAATCGCTAGCATTGCAAAATCGAATCTGCATAAATGCATTTCGATTCAATCAAATGTTGCCGGCGTCTAAACCCTGTTAAACTGTATGTCTACTGTCCCTACCCAGCAATCCCTTAGAAGAAATGGAGTGAATTTTGCCGCTACATCATCATTTAATCGGGGTAAGTGGATGAGCTGTTCTGATACAGTGTAGTTTAGGATTTCCATTTTTTACTCAGAGGCAGACTTGTTGGTCATTTACCTTCGTAGCGGTCGTGTGTCCATGCTATGGCCACACGTTTGTAACCGTTGATTTTGCTGTGCACTACCCTGAAATCAACATCCCCACAGCAAATCTTTGCGGTGTGCTTGTGAACGTTATCCATTACACACGTCACTTCGCTCATGCGGTACCGAGTGCTAGATAAACAGTCCATAATGCAGTTTATGTTGTAGGTTTGGAAACTACTAGTGGACAAGTTGTTCATTAGCTTGGTGGTGTTATTCGTAGTATCTGTCGGAATACGTCGAGCTGCGGTGCACACTCACCAAATACACACCCTAAGCAACTTCCGGTATTGACCACACGGATTTCTCGAAAAGGCTCTGGTCAAAGAGTCAGCATTATGTTCTTTGACTAGCTTGACTGTCTGAGCAGTGAAGCACCATAAATCGATCCGTTTCTCTCCTAGAATACAACGAAATGTCGGAAGGCCGAAGATTCAAAAACGCAGGACAAGAAGAAATGTAGCTTGTCATGTGTATTGGGCCTGGAATCTAACATTTTTAGCCGGTGTAGCGTAGTAACTAGATAGATTATTTGCCCATACATATAAGCTTTACCACTGCAGAGTAAAGCAGTTGTACATTACCAGCAAGCTAGCGTACAATCACCTCTAATGTCTGAGTAAATTTAAGCGTGCACCCATTGCATACCTCAAAGGGTACGCAGATAGTGCAGCCACAGACAACATTGCTGTAAAGTGTCAATACACTAGAATGCCATGATATTGTCACCTACGGAAGCCTAACCCAAATTGCTGCACATGACTCGATCCCAACTATCCCCGATCCAATGAGATTGTGCTATTGCCCATCCAAGCATCAGTGCGTTGAGCGTTAATGAACCGTATAACAATCATTACGGGACACATATGGACTCTTGACTTTTGATCTCGTTGTATCAATACTACCTGGTCATATTCACCATCTAAACTTTTATCCACCTACTTGGGCTAGTTCAAATCATATCAGATATGCCAAACGTTTTCCTCTATCCTTCTATTACAAAGATGTATCTATCAAATTTTATTACCATGATTTTATCAAGTTACCTATTTTTCAGTCCATCCACATTTCTCACGGAGCTAAACTATTCGCTCAAACAAAATCGATGCTACTCCGTTTTGCATCGCATTTCTTCCTGACGTGGTTACAGGGACAACTGGTCACAGCAATGTGTCATTAAAATATGGCTATTCAAAGCTTTACTTGTGGCTGTTGATCATAACCAGAATACGACGCCCAATGCTTCTCATTTCACTCTCTTCAAAAGCGCCAGAAGCGATAATTTCCACATCAGTGTTGAATAACCTGGAAAGATCCAACTGGTGCGTCACGGTTTCCACGTGCACAACACATTCTCTACACGCGTTTTAGTTGTGCGTAGCAATGAGTTGAACTGGTTGATTTAAAGGAAGAAAACTATCTAGATATCTGGACCTTTTACTGACTTCCGTGGCTTGGATCCCAGCTCCATCCTTCAAATTCTTCAAACTTTTGGGACAGGCGTCATGTTCCTGGGTGGGCTGGTGACCATCTGCATCACTGTCTCTGCCAGGTGAACACAACTTTTCACCAGGTTCTCAAGAATTTCAAATACTTTTGACAACATGGTTTCAGAAATGACGACAACAGTGCCAAATAGTACCACAATGTTACAGATGTGAGATAACGACGCAAAATGTAGACTAATCAAGTTACCGCGCTGGCCTGTTCATTATCTCTGTTCGTCATCGCTCCTCTTCCGTTTGTAGTACGTGGTATATCAGCGGCGTTCACTGAAGAGGCCCTCACTTGCCGCCTCTGCTTGCCCTCCGTGGTAGTTGCGTTGACAAAGGAACTATTTCGTGGAGTTGGACTGTGGGTCCAGCTGTCGTTTGCGGGATTCAGCAAAAGCCTTGGCACGACTGAACAATGCGACGGGTATTCCTTCTCGGTCGCTATTGATTGGAGAGCAGCTAGGCAATCAGCGGTTTGCACTGGAGCTGTGAGATTGAAAGTGTTGGATGGGCGTCGACCAGAACGGCGCGCGGCTTCAGTGGTACGTGATAATTGAGACGGGGGACGCTGGGGCGCATTTACTTTTCCAGTACTTGTTGCCGATCGAGCTGAAGTGAAAGAAAAAGTGTTGTAAAATGGGGTTTTGGATGTGTATAAAAAAGCAAAATCCCGTGCACTTCTGCAATCGAAAATCTATCACTGTGAGCAAAAACTCTACTTTAAAGACTACAAGGTGTTGTCTGATGATCCACTCTAGTTGAATTTATCGTCCAACACGGATGCTTAGTGAAAGATCGAGATTATCAAAAAACATTTCTAACATAGTTAAGTGCCTCTGAAGGGGTGCGAACGACAGTTAGACCCCGGTAAACCATGCCAACCTACACTGCGATTCAGTGAGACATTAGAATGTAGGCATTTATCATTATTTTCTGCATTTCGGGCGCTTTGCCAGCCGATCACTTTCTTCTACTAGGAACGAAGAAATGCGAAAGCAATCTAAAGCCACACTATGTTAAGAAGTGCCAGGAATGACCAGTAAGAAATTAGTTTCAAAGCTCGCGCCCAAGCCAAGGCCCTGTAACAGATTTTGTTGCGGCATTCGGTATCGTTTGATCCAATGGATCTTGATAAGCGCTTCAGTTTGACCCACAAATCACTATGAAACACTAGCCCCTGTTCCGATCACTGATGCCGTGTGTAAAGAACGCAAATGGTGTGTCTCCAGCGAACCACTGCTGCATTAGTTACGCCATCTGTTTTTATGGCTGTAATCATGAGCAGTAGGGGAGAGACACATGGGACACCATTTCAAAATGTTAACAATAACTTGTTGGTTCCAAGAGCAGCTGTGAACTTATCAATGCTGAACATACCCGATGGCGAAGATGCGTAGGTTGCGTTGGTAACAGCACCAGGAAACAAAAAAAACAAACATTAATACTCTAAACCAAAATACATTAAATCGTGCACAACCAACTGTGTCAACTGAGCCAGGGTAAAATATGGACGAGCTGACATTAACTGGAATTCTTTCGTTGGTCATTACATGGTCGGAATTGGCACACGAGGAAGTCAGGGTGTCCAATCTTTCGGCATACAATTATTGATTTGAGCTGTTGATGGTCGATATATAGAGAGGAAGGGCACTCAAGGGTGAACCAGTCAATACGATGGCAAAGTTACGGATAAAAGCAAAATTGCCCAAGACTGAGTTTACGCTTTGACAAGATTCCAGGCATAGATGTGGCCATCAGCTGCGCCAGAAATTACTTGGTAAACTTGCAGGCAAATAAGTATAAAGTGTGTCAGAATAAACGCATGCATGATGCTGATACTTACGGCCAGCAAAGAACTAGAGATATGATTTTAAGGCGCGTTCTGTTTACACAGTTGTGGAACAGCCGTCTAAACGCTATAGCCACTTACCACACAACGCGACAGCTGTTTGACATAAATGAACACCTGCATCTACCAATTACCCTACAGAAAGCAGTGTTATCATAATCAATCGCAATATATGGCCATACGTGTGATACCTCAAACAATTTCCTGTTGCTAATACTGGCTAAATGGCAGGCATAGCTTGAGTATTCTTTTATTTATAAGTGCCAGATAAAAATGGTACAAATTGGTACAGGAATTAGTACACAGAAAAGCACTGTGACGGTTCTGCATGTTGTGACTGACAACGGAATGTAGGTTAAGTAAACCAACTCCATAGCTCTCCAGCAGTTCAATAAACGCTGAGTAGTTCCAGTCAGATTTGAACGCGGAATGCTAAAGTAGCTTAGCAGCATTTCGAAATAAGACGTCTACGTCGGTCGACTCTTTTGCTTTTCAAACTTGTCTGTTAGAGATACTGCAAGCAACCACAGAATACAAATAGCTAGTAAAAAACGGTGGCCTGCTTGCAATTTAACATTTACCGGTGGTATTACTCTCCTCATCTACCACACAAATCTTCTAGCTCTGATGAGTTTAGCAGAAATAAACGCGGAACTATTAGTAAAAATACACAAAATTGCCCTCAAACTTCTCCATGACTGACTTATTATTGTTTTGCTCCGTGAAAACGCGGACTCATTGTGTCTGTTTTGGTGGATGCTATGGCGATTAGCTGGAGAAAGTTACCGATTCAGAACAAGGGGAAATTTCTCCACTAATGGACCTACGCACTTCATGGTTAATGCTAAAGCGAAAGGAGCATTGGAGGATGCCACGACTGGTTCACTACCTGTTCACATTTCCTTGACACTCATATCGTTGGTGGAAATTTGTGTGAATCATATGTAGCCGGGGTATACAAACTAGCTGAATTGGCTTCAGTCAAACGCACCCCAACAAAGACGAATAACTAAACTCCACTAGCATTTGTCAGCATGACATTAACAACAGAAGCGGAAGAGATGACATAGGGCCGGCTGAGGACTTGTCAATACCTGTGTCGGACTTGACCAGAACTGACAATCCACCGCTCTTTAAAAGTCAATCTAGCTACCTTCTGTCATTTGGGTATAGCTCAGCTGAAGCGACAGAACATAAGAAGTCTTCAGCACGTGCAAACACCAAATATCTTGCGAATATCCTGCAATGGTATCCGACTTGGAAAGTTCATTTATAGTGATATGGGTTACTTCAACAGCCTTCCCCCTCCCCTCAATGTGGCCACAATGCAGTTCGCCAGCCACCATCGGTACGCCAAAATGCAAAATCAGAACATTGCTATTTTTCACTTTTAATTCACTTGTGCTGCTCATTATGTGAATGTACTGTTTTCGCAAGTTCTGAAACTGATAATTGTCAGGTGTTACTGTCTCGGAACACAGAACTATACGACAGAACATGTATTTGCAGTTACACATTTCGACAGATGTAACATAATTGCAACTCGAATCCCTGAGGCAGAGAGTATCGATTGACGATTTATACTCCACACCTGATTCTTACTCTAGGTGCATGTATCTTGTGTGCAGCCCACCGTCATAGAATCAACAGAATTTTGACGTCTATGTGCGCCTGTTTTCTTGATCACGCCAACCAGCCTTGTAATGAATTGCTTACTAAGACCCTGTTCTCAAACTAAGGACTTTATCTCTTGGCACATTACTAACCTGTAATTATCACGTAAACGAATTACTAAAAATGAGATGGTACTTTACCCTGCCAACATAGGTATTGATGTGGTTATTAACCCACACGGGGAAATCAAAGTTACCAGTGAAATGGTTACATAGAAGTGTTGGAATTCTCATTTTAACAAATATATGCAAGCTGTTCTTCGGGCTAAGCGAAATAACAGTGAACAAGTGCCAAAACGAATAAGATACCGGTAATAGAACAAACGCATGCTTTCCATGTTGCTTAAGATAAGAGAACCTGATTAACTTGTGCATTTCTGATTATATTATACCCCACAGAACCGTGATCCCGAAGTTTTAGGGCTCTTGTATGCTCAACAGATGTGAACTGCTAGCAAGACCAATATTAGATATGAGCAACTGTCCTCATGATTCCGCAGATAAATCGCTTATCTAATGTTTGAAGTTAGTCAGCATACTTTCAGCCAGGCAGGCCAATAGCCAAGCTTAAATTTTGTGTTCGGGGCGACAACTCAAAGTAAAAATCATACCCAAATCCGTCCACTCACTAGTAATCAAAAAGGAAGCCCTAGTAGTCTCCAAAAATGCTGTGCGGATTCACGGTCCTGATGAGGGAAGTGCTGATCCGGACAGCCTTGCAGTGACATCGGCGTTGGCAGCAACCCGCAGGGCTGTGGAGGATGGGTCGGGTTAAATCACAGCTAGCTTTTAATCCGTGGTGGTCGGCTATCCTCCTCCATGGCATTAGCTGCTAGCTAGTGGTGCAAGCCACTAGCTGCCATGGCTTCGATCCCGACCAGAAGAACGAGCGAATGCGCACATTTACAAGTCCCAATAAGATGAAACCATCTTCGGGTGTTTTCCTGGCTTGGCAGCTCACATATGCGGCTTTTTTGATTGCAATGTTACCTGTCTGGCGTTCACCTGACTGGTTGTACAGTAAACCTGATCTCCTCTGCCATAGAGTTTCACGTCTTCCTCCTTACCTAGCGCGGTCATCATATACTCATTCGAATCGGATTAACTCCGCACGCTGTTTTTAAGTTTTCATTGCTGTGACACTGTGGTCGGGCAAGGATTCTCCGCTCTATCTGGTGGTACTAGAGTTACATCTATAGAATAAATGCTAACAAACCTACGACTCAACCAGCGGTTTCAAGTGCATTCATCCATCGCCGATAACTTTCGTTGTCATCCACCCATCACAAGCCACTTCCAACGGCTTTGCCCTACAGGAACAAGTGTGGATCAATAAGCTCTCCAAACGCCGTGTATGTGTGTCCTCATCTTGCACACTTACATACAGTAACCGACGTCGAGCGTGTGACTGCGGCAAAAACGCGAGCGTCACTCGCCCACCACCATACGTGAGTATAGAAAGGCAGCGTTCGTTTGCAACAACGGCCCGCAATGGACCTGCTTCTAACAAACCGCAAGTGTTGTAAGCAGAAGTGTACACACAAAGTCAGACGAGACATTACTCGTGAATGTTGCGGCCTTCAGTTTCACCCTCTTTGTGCTAGTTCCGTCAACTACAATAAAAGAGACAAAGCAACCTGACTGATTCTCTCTGATTTTGCCAAACATGCAGAGCAATCGCAATAATCATAGGTATAATATCGTATGTGAAAACTGAAAAAGGGACGGAAACAATCCAGCAGATTGCGAGCTTCAGGGCTTTGTCATTAGAATCGAACCCACAGAAATTGCTCTACAGCAAACTTATCAGAGCCCTATCCATAAGAAGAAAGCTAAAGTTAGACTTGTTAACCGCCCGACTGCCTCTGCACCACGTACTCCAACGATTACTAACCCTTCAAACAGGCAAGCCGTATCCGGCTTGACTGCTATTTACACATCCCTGCATGCCATAACTCAAGAGTTGGTCATAACACCGACACCGACAGTTCAGAGCGCGGTAACATACGTAGCGATCACACCGATAATAACGCCTAGAGAGGCACCCTTACGTCCATGATCTGGACCAAGCAAGAGCGATGCGACGC